CCAACCATGTAGATAAATAACATGCCCCATTAGGTTTTATAAAATCAGTGTGTTGTGGCAGAATACATCCTGTGTCCAATTAGAATAGCTCCATATATTTAGAAAAAAAAAATTCTACTACTACCACTGTAGCACCACTATTTACAAATAAAAAGGAAAGAAATTTGTCCTTTATTTTTTTTTTCATTCATCAGTATTTTTTATTATGGTTTTGTGGGGTACAGTTAAGGGTTAGGTGTACAATTACGTTTCATTCAGGCACCCTGTTGATAAGAGGTGTTTTCCCATCCCCCGACAGATATTTCGACTGTTAATCCCATCCCCCTCCCCCCCATAGATTCCCAGTACCATCAGTCATTTTCTTATAGTATTTCATTGGATGTTCAAGGTCCATTATATGAGTGAGAACATGTGATATTCGGATCTTTGTTTCTGTGAGATATCACTCAGTATTATAGACTCTAGTTCCATCCAGGTTGCAGCGAAATTCATGATTTTGTTCTTTTTTATGGCTGCGTAGTATTCCATCGTGTATATGTACCACATTTTTTAAATCCAGTCCTCTTTTGATGGGCAGCATGGTTGTTTCCAGGTTCTTGCTATCGTGAACAACGCTGCGATAAACATACGTGTGCAGGTATCTTTTTTATAGAGTGATTTGTGTTCTTCAGGGTATATTCCCAGTAGGGGGATTGCAGGGTCATATGGAAGGTCAATTTTTAGAGCTTTTAGGAATCGCCACACTGCTTTCCACAGAGGTTGCACTAGTTTACACTCCCAAAATGCACTTAGTTGGGCATGGTGCCTCATGCCTATTATTCTAGCAGTTTGGGAGGCAGAGGCAAGAGGACTGCCTGAACCCAGGATCTGAGACCAGTCTAGGGAACTTGGCAAGACCTCATCTCTACAATTAAAAAAAAAATTAGTCAGACACGATGGCGCGTGCCTGTGTTCCAGCTACTTGGAATGCTGAGGCGGAAGGATCACCTGAGCCCAGCAGCTTGAGGCTGCGGTGGCCATGAACGTGCCGCTGTACTCCAGCCTGGGCAACAGAGTGAGACTCTGACTCAAAAAAGAAAAAAGAAAATGCACTCTATCACATTCATCTTTGTGTTTTCCTTCCTGCATGGTTCTTCGCACAAACC